CTTATGCCCGAAAAATAAAGTGAAGTCTAATAACATCCTATTTACATGTCAAATTTGCACCCACATCTTTTCTGTTCCTCAGCAATTTCTGTCACTTTGTCCCTCTCAGACTTGTCTCAGACATCCAGACTGTGAGTCGGCGCGGATCAACAAAGAAGCGGTCTTCCAGCGGATGCGTATCGCCCTGGAGCAGGTCATTGAGATTGTGACAGACACGAGGAGCAGCGGAGAGGCCAAAGCGCTTCCTGTCAGCATCTACGCTGGGATTAAAGACTTTAAGGTGCACTGCCGGAGGCTCTTAGATGAATGTCTTGGTGGACAATTATTTCTCTCCCACAAATTTAAATTTCAAAATTTCTTTATTGCATGACAAATGGTACTATTGTATTGCCAAAGTATTCATAAAGTTTACATTATAAAGAACATACATTGTTTCTTTAATATATAGTAAACACAGTAAATAGTGGTAGTAAAAAAATATGAATAATTAAAATAATTGATAGTTTTCTCCTGCTCTCGCCTATACCGATTCATAAGCTCATTAAATTCTTTATTTGATTCTTGATTCATTTCAGTGAACAAGTCTACTTACATATCTAACAATTATCATACACATACACAGACATACTTGTATATGTGGTTTATGGAGACTCTGTAACATTTAAAATAATTAAAAAAATTAAATGAATAAATATTATCAAAAAATAAAACAACAACAATAATAATAATAACAAATCTGAATAATCTGTACATTTAACAATCAACATTTATGGATGTTGGATTTCTCTCTCTGTCTCTCTTTTTAGGTATTGCTTGTTTGTTGGGAAGAGCATGCATTTATTCAGAATCAGTAATAAATTTTATTAATTAAAGAGTAAAATGTGCTGCTTGGAATTGATTTCCAAGGGCATTTTAAAAGTTTTTAAGGGCAATGTTTATGATCGTGTTTATGTATCTGTGTTGACTTAAGTCCTATTCATGTTTGACTAATTTATGATGTTAGAGTTTTTATTGTTTCAGTTATTCCAGAGATGTGAGGGTCTGTTTTCTACATCTTGATTTTAGTGATTACATTCTCTATATACACTTTCATAAATAAAGGTACGAGAGCTGTCACTGGGGGTGGTACCAACACATTGGTAACTAAAGGGTCCATATTAATACAGCAACAAGAATCAGTCCAAGGCACTCGAATAAAGTGAAAATGTTAAAAAGCCTTTATTCACATGGCTAAATCTCTAAAAACCTACGCATTTCGGCAGAAGTCTGCCTTCATCAGGGTAACAGTTGTTGTAAAAAGTACAAATGTGTGTCTTTTAAAAAGGTACCACCAGAGTGACAGCTCTTGTACCTTTATTTCCGAGAGTGTACATGCTTTCTTTGCATATGATTTTGTAGGACTGGAAACTAACAAATACAGTGAAGTATAGAAGTGATTATCCCTTACAAAAATTAACCATGGATTTGTTAAGTGTGGTAACTATCTTGTTTTTGGCAGATTGATTACCATTAGTGTAGTTAAACACCATGGTTAAACTTACACCTAGTTGCTGTTTTTTTATTTCTCACATGGGAGTTAATAAAAAATATCTATATAGTTATTTTTTGCAGACAAAACTGATTTATTTTGCATCACTGATCTCAATATCCCACCAGATGTTTGTGTGTATATAAAGAGTTTAGATGCAAAAACCTCTAAGTGCCTTCTGACATTTCCAAAGAAAATGAAACTTTTTTTCGCAACCTTCTTTGTTTGTGTTGAGATATTCCACTTTAAAAAACAGGAAAAGGACTTATTCTTTGCTATAGAAAATATAATACAGAACATACACACAGGAGCCTGATAAAAATGCTCATTTTAGTCAAAAATTTTAGATAGCATTTAGAGGTTTTTGCATCTAAACTATGACCAGCCACTTTATTAGGCATACCTGTCCAACTGCTTGTTAATGCAAATTTCCAATTAGCCAATCACATGGCAGTAACTCAATGCATTTAGGCATGTAGACATGGTCAAGAGGATCTGCTGTATTTCAAACCGAGCATCAAAATGGGGAAGAAAGGTGATATAAGTGACTTTGAACATGGCATGGTTGTTGGTGCCAGACGGGCTGATTTGAGTATTTCAGAAACTGCTGATCTATTGGGACCGAACCATCTCTTAGGTTTGCATCACCATCTCAGACTGGTTTCTTGAACATGACAATGAGTTCACTGTACTTAAATGGCCTCCACAGTCAGAAGGTCTCAATCCAATAGAGCACCTTCGGGATGTGGTGGAACGGGATATTCGCATCATGGATGTGCAGCCGACAAAGCTGCAGCAACTGCAGGATGCTATCATGTCAATATGGACCAAAATCTCTGAGGAAATTTCTAGTTCCACAAAGGATTGAAGCAGTTCTGAAAGGGGTTCCAAGCCAGCTAGTAATGTCTACCTAATAAAGTGGCCAGTTAGTGTATATAGATATAATATGATGACGTATGTATATGTGTGTAAATGTGTCATTTGCCACAAATATGAAGCGCTGACAAAGTTTAAAAATACACCAGGAAAGGGCTTGAAAAGTGCTTCTATTTGACTTTGGAAAAGGTGTAAGGACCCTGATATTAGGACACACTTTTGTGTAATGACATGTGTATAATAAAGAAAGGTGACCTATTAGAACATCGTCCTTGTACTACAGAATGAGTTATATGTAAGGGGTAGGATTAGTGTAGAGTGATTAAAAAAATACAGTTTGTACAATATAAAAAACATTGAGCCTGTGGAATGTCGAACAATTCACAAAAACAAACCTGTGTGTGTTTTCAGGTTAAAGTGGAGGCTCTGAGGGACTCTTTGTATGGTGTGTCCTGTGAAGCTGTAGCGGCTCAGCTAGAAGCTCTTGTGGAGAAAACTGAAGACTTTACAGACTCTGCGTACACCAGGCACGAGCAGAGAGAGACAATCATACAGCTCTGCCAGATCACACGTCAAGAGACCAAACAGCTCATCAACACATGGAGACATGCGGTAAGTTAGATACAGTAGAGACATTCACACATTAGCGATTGCACTAGTCATTACCTTCATGCATGATTTTGCCAAGTATGATGCGATCCTGGATTAACATCTATGTTGATCCTGGAGCATCCTTTTTGTTAGAAAATGTAATCCATACCTATTCCCTTCCACTAAACCCAACCATAACTGTGAATTATTCCTCAAATCAGAGGGGAATAATAGTTGGATAGCAATCACGTAGAAGTGCATAAACCTAGCCGTAAGCTTAAACTCAACATAAATGTTAAACAAATCCCTTAATTCTGATTGGCTGATTGGAATGTTGTTCCAGGATCAACATAAATGTTAATCTACAAGTACAGTGCATCTGGAAAGTATCCATAGCGCTTCACTTTTTCATGTTACAGCCTTATTCCAAAATGGATTAAATAAATGTATTTCCTCAAACTACACACAATACCCCATAATGACAATGTAATTTTTTTATGTTGTCAAAATTGTTGCAAATTTATTAAAAATAAAAAGCCTGAAAATCACATGTACATCAGTATTCACAACCTTTGCTGTGAAGCTCTAAATTGAGCTCAGGTACTTTCTGTTTCCACTGATCATTCTTCAGATGTTTCAGCAGCTGAATTTGAGAGTACTTGTGGTAAATTCAGTTGATTGGACATGATTTTAAAAGGCATACACCTCTTTAAGGTACCAGGGTTAAGAGTGCATGTCAAGGCACAAACCAAGCATGAAGACAAAGGAATTGTCTGTAGACCTCCAAGACAAGATTGTCTCAAGGCACAAGGCTGAAGAGGGTTACAGAAACATTTCTGCTGCTCTGAAAGCTCCAATGAGCACAGTGACCTCCATTATCCGTGAGTGGAAGATGATTGAAACCACCAGAGCTCTTCCTAGAGCTGGCAGGCCAGCTAAGCTGAGTATTCTGGGGAGAATGGCCTTAGCAGGGAGGTGATCAATAACCCGATGGTCACTCTGTCTGAGCTCCAGCTTTCTTCTGTGGAGAGAAGAGTATCTTACAGAAGGACAATCATCTGTGTAGATTTCCACCAATCAGGCCTGTATGGTAGAGTGGCCAGATGGAAGCCACTCCCCCGCCTGGAATTTACCAAAAGGCATCTGAAGGGTTCTCAGACCATAAGACACAAAATCCTCTGGTCTGATGAGACTAAAATTGAACTCTTTGGAGTAAATGCCAGGCATTACGTTTGGAGAAGACCAGGCACCGCTCATCACCAGGCTAATACCATCCCTACGGTGAAGCATGGTGGTGGCAGTATCATGCTGTGGGGATGTTTTTTAGAAGCAGAACCTGGAAGACTAGTCTGGATAGAGGGAAAGATGAATGCAGCAATGTACAGAGACATCCTGAATGGAAACCTGCTTTAGACCTCTTGACCTCAGACTGGGGTGATGGTTCATCTTCCAGCAGGACAATGACCCAAAGCACACCCCAAAATATCAATGGAGTGGCTTCAAAACAACTCAGTGAATGTCCTTGAGTGGCCTAGCCAGAGCCCAGGCCTAAATCCTATTGAACTTTTCTGGAGAGTTCTGAAAATGGCTGTACACCGTCGCTTCCTATCCAATCTGATAGAACTTGAGGTACTGCAAAGAGGAATGGACAAAAATTCCCAGAAATGTGTGCCAAGCTTGTGGCTTCATATTCAAAAAAAAAATTGATGCTGTAATTGCTGCCAAAGGTGCATCAACAAAGAACTGTGCAAAGGCTGTGAATACTTAGGGATGTGATTTTTAGGTTTTTTATTTTTAATAAATTTGCAACAATTTCAAAAAATCATTTTTTCCACATTGTCATTATGGGGTATTGTGTGTAGAATTTTGAGAAAATACATGAATTTCATCCATTTTGGAAGAAGGCTGTAAAAAAAAAAAAAAAATGTGGAACAGGTGAAGCGCTATCAATACTTTCCGGATACACTGTATGCCTGTGTATGTGTGTGATCATCTTTAGAGATGTTAGTAGCTTCTGTGTTAAAGACATGTTCACTGAAATGAATCACAAATCAAAAAAAGAATTGAATTAACTTGTGAATCTGAATCCAATCAGGAATTATTTGATATCCAGCCATATAGTTCAGAGCAGCAGGAAACTCTATCAGCTTCAGCTCAGTGTAGCTGTGGTACATAGGTTTTGTGTACTAAAATTGCTCTCGCTGTCATCTTAAAAGAACTTTTTTTCCTGGCATGCATATCCGTCCTTCTCGTCTTTGTTGTGGAGAGTGTGAAGGATGTTCTGCATGCTTCCTGTGGTGTAACTGTCCCTGAACCTCACACCCTCAACGTGCCTCATACACTGGTAAATAATAAACCCTGCAGTGCTGATCTATAGGCGTTCATTCCTTCTTGTTCCTGCCTTTGATTAGTTACTATTCACCGGCCTGCATTGTGCCACATTCTCCTTTAGATCTCCTTAAAGTTCCAGTAAGGACGTTACATTGGTAGTTGACTCTAAATCTAGAGATGCATGAAAGAAAGAGAAAGTCACAGAAAGTTAGAAATAAGTACACTGTGTTGGTTTAATAGCAGCAATAATTTGAAGGTTGATATTTACTGGCATGACATTCATTGCTATACGTTGAATAGGTTGTGAAAAATAACTATGTTCAAGGTAAAAGACTGAGTCATTGCATTTTTTTTTTTACTTTTTCTCTAACTTTGTATGTTAGCAATGTAATTTGAGGATCATGTTGTCAATATAGCAGGGGAGAAAGTAAAATAGTTGATTTTTTTTTTCTTTGTTCATTACACCGTAATCAACTGCATAAATTATTACACTATATAATTAAATAAGCTAATGAATATGTAAACAAATGAAAAAATATTGCTTAAAAAATTTCTGGTTTTCAGACCTTAAATATATAAAATAATATATTTTAAACACCAATATATCTAAAAACATATACACTCAACAGCCACTTTATTAGGTACACCTTGATAGTACCAGGTTGGACCCCCTTTTGCCTTCAGAACTGCTTTAAACTTTCATGGCATAGATTCAACAATGCCAATATTCCTCAGAGATTTGGTCCATATTGACAATAGTATCACGCAGTTGATGCAGATTTGTCAGCTGCGCATCAATGATGCAAATCTCCTGTTTCACCAAATCCCAAAGGTGCTTTATTGGATTGAGCACTGGTGACTGTAGAGGCCATTTGAGTACAGTGAACTCATTATGGTCACAAAGGGATGGACATGGTCAGTAACAATATTAAGGTAGGCTGTGGCGTTGACACGATGGTCAGTTGGTACTAATGGACCAAAAGTGTGCCAAGAAAACATCCTCCACTCCATTACACTACCTCCACCAGCCTAAACCGTTAATGCAAGGCATGATGGATCCATGCTTTCATGTTGTTGACGGCAAATTCTGACCCTACCATCCAAATGTTGCAGCAGAATTTGAGACTCATCAGATCAGGCAACGTTTTTCCAATCTTCTATTGTCCAATTTTGGTGAGCCTGTGGGAATTGTAGCCTCAGTTTCCTGTTCTTAGCTGACAGGAGTGGCACACGGTGTGGTCTTCTGCTGCTGTAGCCCATCCGCCTCAAGGTTGAACGTGTTGTGCATTCAGAAATGCTCTTCTGCATACCTTGCTTGTAACAAGAGGTTATTTGAGTTACTGTTGTCTTTCGATCAGCTTGAACCAGAGGAGGCCATTCTCCTCTGACCTCTGGCATCAACAAGGCATTTGCGCTCACAGAGCTGCCGCTCACTGGACATTTTCTCTCTTACTGACCATTCTCTGTAAACCCTAGAGATGGTTGTGCTTGAAAATCCCAGTAGATCAGCAGTTTCTGAAATACTTGAATCACCTTTCTTCCCCATTCTAATGCGCTCTTTGAACTGCAGCAGATTGTTTTGACCATGTCAAGTGTACCTAATAAAGTGGCTGCTGAGTGTATAATAATTATAAATATAATGCATTTATTTGATTATTTTATCATGGTGTTTTTGATGATTTATTGCCCGCTTCCAATGCGACAGCTTTCCCATTTTAATAATTTGTCTCACACAGCCAGACGTTTGACTTACAGCTAAAAGTGTTCTTCTCATCACAAATGATTCAGGCCAAAAATCTGCCACTTATATGGGAAGAGACAACCAACATCTAAACTTACAGCTTATTTTGTTTTACTTGCTATTTAGGGCAGAGTTGAGCTGAGCCGAAGTAATATACCATTGTGGAGGTTTGAAAAAGTCTTTTGAACTCGTTGACATCGTTGAAATCATATTTAATACCAAAGACTACTGACCATCATGTCATTGGCTCATTTTTTCCACATTTCCTGCTTGTTATCATCTATTTTATAACTGTAACACAAGGCAATTCAATCATAACTTAATGTTAAAACAGCTATCGTAACCTTATTTATCAATATGTAGCTCTTTTTGGATTCTCGGAAGCTTTAGAAATAAAAAAAATGTAAAACAGGAAATATATTGGGACCATTGTTTTATGTTAACATTCCTCAAAATGGTCTATTAAATGCACAAGACATGTCTTTTGTATAGTTTTAAATAGGGAAAAGTGTAACAGTCAATATGGTGAATGAAGCCTGCCCTCTAGTATTGAAGCCAATCATTGATCGCTATAGACTGACATTTCTCTGGAGGAAAGCTCAGAAAAGACGTGTGCTTTAACGACGAAGCGAATACTTGCTCCCCATACATATGAAATATATCCACATAAAGCTTAAAATATGTTCATTTAAATGAACCAAGTGCACTTGAAAACATTTATTATTTATTTTTTTTGTTAATCTGTATGAAACGAACACAAGGTACAGTCAGTCCTGTCAAACGCACTTCACATTACAGCAACTGCTCAAACGCCCACAACCTTGTAAACAAAGTGCCGCTTTCATTTCTGGATTCGTCATCAAGACCAAGTTGTGGATTATTTTAGAAAACCAGAGCGATCTGACGAAGTATTACTCAGGGGATGAAAATGTGTAGAATGGCCATAAATGTGGTTGGTGTCATGATCTCGTTCCTTTTGAGTGTGCATGCACATTAGCTCAGACAACTTGAAAATAAGCAGATATTTGTCTGATTCGGACATTTAGAAATTAAACTTAAGAGACTGATGTTGTTAATTTTTATTGGTGGTTCCAGATATGTAATGTAATTGCAAGTTGGCAGTTTTGGAGAATTAGATTTTTTTTTTTTGAATTTTAAACGTTTCTTCATTCAGACAGAATGCCTGAGCATATCGTCTCAAAGATGGCCGCCGAGTGAAATGACTTGCCTTAAAGGGACTTTGTTAAAACACGCATGTCCTGTTTAGTTTTACATATTTTTTCCTGATCCATTCACAACTTCAATTTGGACTTGAACTTGAAGATAGCTAGTCACTTACTAGATAGCTAGTCAACATAAATAACATTTAACTACAGTATTTCCAATCAAAAGTTTGGTTTACTGGTGAAAAATGTAAAAAGCTTGGTGTTTGGTGTATATTTTTGTTGTTTCATAGAAATAAATTAGCCAAGATTATTTAAAAATATTAGAGCAAAAGTTCAGAAAAAAACCTGGTAATGTTCCTTTGCTCACTCATAGACCTGCAAACAAATAGATGACAATTAGGAAAGTGATGAAAATGAACAAAATTGGCTGAAGCTGAAATGTTTGTTGTGATTCGGTTGATCAAAATGCTTTTTAATATAAGGAACAAACAAGGTCTCGTTGAATTAATCCCAATCTTTTGTAGCTTGATGTTTGATGCGTGCTGTATATACGCAGTCTGTGTACTATTACTCCTGAATGTTGCATAAAACAAGCCAATCGGATTGCAACTGTCAGTTTAAACAAGCTCTTGACAGTTATGAGTGCGTGTGTCAATGAACAGTCTATGGGCATAAGTTTTCATCCCACCAAGCACTGCAATTTATTTCCTCTTTCTGTCATCAGTCAAAAAAATAAAAAATAAATTAAATATTTAGACACAGTGCTTGCTTTTACATGATAATATCTGGGTTGTTCCCCAATTTACCTGTCTAGCATTTCAGTGACACAAACATTCGGTGTGTGTTCACTGAAGTGCAATGACTGTTTATGTCCCAGTGTGATGTCTCGGAGTAAACCGCGGAAGATGAGAGCATTTCAAACATTCACACGCTTCTGTGCTGTGTGTTGACACCCCGTGGTAATCCTGTCTGAAAGCAGTCCCCACCCACCTGTCTGCCTGTCCTCTGAAGAGAAAACTGGGGATAGAGACTGTCATGTCTTACGCAGTCCGTCTTTCAGCCTGCTTGGGCCACAATGACACTCGTGCTTGGAAACTTGACAAGTTTTCCACTTGGAATGATGCATGTTTTTGGTTGGTTGGAATATTTAGCTGTTTGCAGTGTGTAAAGTTCTTTTGTCTGTCTTTGTTTCTCTTTTCCTCTTGCAGCAATCGCTTAAAGCCAAAGAGGCCACAGATGAGATGGAGCTCTCTATTTTGAAGACTTGTCAGTGTGTCAGTGATCTCAGGCAAGAGGTGAGAATTTTTTAGCGACAAGCAACACTCTGGGATTGAATCCCATGAGCCAAAGCATCTAAAACCATCTTTAGAAGTGTCCATCCCAATGTCTTTTGCTATTCCAAACTGTTTAAGCATAGTAGTGTCTATTTTCATGAAAAAAGAATGAAGATTGACAGGTATTGTGCGTTGTATGTGTAAATATGAGAAGTCAACTTGTTTTGTAAAATATGAAACTTACCTGTTAATGGTTGCTCCAGAAATGAGGCGGAGCCTGGCCTATTAACAGTGCAAATGACTATGGTACTGTGAGCGACTGGCATATTGTGGTATAATGTGGATGTTATTTTCTTTTTGGATACTTTGTATAAAATAATTATTGTTATTATTTTTTCACATTATTGTTATCAAAACAGAAATTTCAATGCATACATTTTTTGTGAAATTTTGAATGTTTTTCCTTATGGTCATTATTTTTATAATAGTTATTATTTTTAGATATTAGTTTCTAGTCTATTAAAATACTTTGAATACTTAATTTGTTTGATACTAGTTCTTATCAAATCAAATAATCTTTCGTTTAATCCTAATAACAATCTTCCTGAAGTTTGCAGTTCTCCACGTGCTGTATGTTTCCTCTGGGTGCTCTGTTTTCTTTCACATTCACCAAGACATGCGCTATAAGTAAATTGAATAAACTAAATTGGCTATAGTTTATGTGTGAGTGCAAATGCAAGAGTGTATGGGTGTTTCTCTGTACTGGGTTGCAGCTGGAAGGGCATCTGCAGTGTAAACCATACAGTATGTTGGCATAGTTGGGTATTCTTTCCACTTTGTCGACTAAGCCAAAGGAGACTCAATGAGTCAAGGGTTACAGGTTTTCAACATTCATAAAACGTCTTCACTTTGTGTTTAGTCGATAAAGAAAGTCATAAAGGTTATTAACCACTTGAGGGTGAGCAAATAGTGAGTAAAATAAAATATTTGGGTGGCCTATCCCTTTAATACTAGCCCTTGGTAATTCATTCATATTACTGCACTTTCCCCGGTGTTCAGCTTCATAAGGTAGCAGTAGGGAGGGCCACGGAGCTGCTGAAGCTGCATTCAGATCATCTGGTGCTGCAGGCCCTGAAAGCCTCTGGTGGGGACGGAAACCTTGAGGCCGTGGCTGACTACGCCAGCACACTGACTGAACACAACGAACAGCTGGTGGAGGTGAGCCCCTCGGACACAAATATGATTACCAAGCTGTTTCTTTTATAAATATTCGAAAGACACCATTGACTCTAACAGCAGGGCCAGTTTACATCATTATACAGCATGCATTGGAAAATAAAATAACACTTTAGTAAAGTACCTTAAACTTAATGTTTATGCAAATTGAAATAAAGTAAAATTTAAATTTTAAAATAAGTAATTTTTGATATGAGTTCAAAAGCATTATGAAAGCAAAAAAGTAAATGTTGTTTTTTTGTATATTTATAAAGTGTTATATACTAATGTGACATAGGCAAGAATGCATTTTGTCCTGAATATCAGCACAAATGCAATATTGATTTTTATACAACAGTTCTATCTGGTTCTCGAGTCTGATTGGCTGATAGCCGTGTGATGTAATGTAGTGCTGTTTTTATACCATAGTAAGCTGGTAGTGTTTGCTTTGCTTTGGCGTTTTCGGGGTTAATTATTGTGATATTCTAATTGCAACATAAGTATTGAGAAATGTCTGTAGACTGATGGCATTTCATGCTGCTCAGCTTTATAATCTTAGAATGTGAGCAAAATCACCTGTTTTTTCATCACTTTAGACATTATGCTAGAGAATCATTTAAATACTAAAGTGTTGTTGGTGAAGTAGCAACCCTGAAAAAAGCAGTGCAATCACTACCAGACTGCTGTTGTGTTTGCGATAAGGAGGGGATGTTCAGGTGTGAGGTCTCTGAAAAACACTGTTGAGAACCGGGATAGGAAAGTAACTGTATTAAAATAGGCACTTTCCTTATAAATAAACTGCATAGTTGCAATCTATACAAAAGAGAGAGATGGACTTAGAATATCACTTACCAGGACAATGAGGATTTGATCAGCTGTAGTTAGAAAACACGCAGTTTTAATTTTAAAAGCAAGGCCTTATTATGCGGTCCTGGCACCATCTTGTTGATATACAACGTCAACCGTCTTTGACTAATAGACACAGACACGCTGTCTCTTAGAAATTGTAAATATTTTAAAATAGGCACTATGCTTATAAATAAACTGATAATTGCAACCTAAACAACTATGTACTCGACTAAAAAAGCCACAAAAGTACATTATGTTGCCCAACAGCAGGAATATTCGTCAAACTGTGGAGTGCCTCTGCTGGTATGTGGGTGGAGTAATACATAAAGGTGAAAAGGCCTTTGTGTGCTATTACTGGCAAAATATCTTACGGCTATCAGCCAATCATGTATTTATCAATCAGTTGAGCATCTTCTATTTGTTTATATCAACAAAATCAGGTCTTCTAACTGAAATATATTCAACTTTAATTCTAGCAGAAATTAAACAAGTAAGACTTTCTCCAGAAGAAAAAATATTATAGGAAATACTGTGAAAAAAACTAATTTCACAGTAATTCACAAATTTTGACTTCAACTGTAGGCATTGCAGTTTAGTTAATAACTGCTGAATTGTCTAACCTACTGACCCATGTTTTCATTTTCCTCTGCTTAAATTCAGTGTGTTTGTGGGCATATCTTCTGTTTTCAGACTTGTCGTTTGCTCTGCCACGTCTCGGGGACAGAGCCGCTGGAGATCACCTGCATTCATGCTGAGGAAACCTTTCGTGTCATTGGTCCACAGGTAAACAAAAACAGCTTGTCTCCTGTAACTGTAGGATTCTGGCATCTTTAGCTTGAGAACACATTTTCTCAGTACTTTCAGTGATTTACACAAGATAGATTTTCTTAATAAAAGAACAAGATTGTTATTTGCCACAGCTAGTGTTTATTTCTCAAAAATCACCATTGCTTATCTGACACATTTTATGTGCTTGTTGTTGATTTCATAGAAAAAGGCACGCATAAGCAGGCATGAAATAGTACGAATCTGCAATTAAAATGCACACTCAGCGCACACTCAGAGCTGAAAGTATCAAATCTTCTCTGCTCTTTAAGTCTTGTTCTTTTTTCGTATCAAAACAAACACTGATCATCAAATAAAATGACACAGAAAAGGTCAAATAGGCAGAATGTAATTGATCAGCACGCTTCATTAGCATATGTGATTGCGCACAGGAATGAGTGTTATTAGAGAGGGCGACCTCACCTCAGCAGCCAATCACAATGAGGCCTAAAGATCAGACAGCCAATAAGAGCGCAGCGGGAGAGTGTCCGCTTCAGGGATGCATGATAATGAGCCGCTTTATCAGTAATTCCGAAAGCCACAGGTAATTGGCAGCTGAATCTACAGCCTCAGCAGAGACCAGCTCTGCTTCACTGTGTTTGTGTTTTTGAAACGTCCTACCACTAAGCTGTAAATCATAATTATGCAGTTGCCGACAGAGTTTGATGTTCATTTATACTTTGGGACGCTGGAGAGGAACCAGCGATGAATATTGATATTCAGATGCTGCACTAAAGTTGTTTTATGCATCCAAAAATCACTGTACAGTTCAAAAAAGTTAGGGATCGGTAAAGGAAATGCTCACTAAGGCTAGATTTATTTGCTAAAAAAACCCAGGAGAAGTAAAAACAGGAATATTGCGCAATATTATTAGAATTTATAGGGCATTTATGATAATCTTCTATAGCAAGCTGTTTGTACAGAACTCTGTGTAGGTATATTGTGTCCACAGTCAAATTGGGGTGTTATAAACACAATAAGTCACTTTTTTTTATTCCTGATGTTAAAATAGGATTAAAATCCCTCCTGTTTTGAGGCCCAATAATAATTCCAAAAAGCAACTGACTGTGTAAAGTCACATAAAAACAAAACAAAAATATGATGAATATGCAGAGTTCAGCAGCTAATCAGCCGGAATCAGCTGAGGTGATGTGACTGCAACCAGCAAGACCTAGCAGTCACTCAAGTGGCCACGCCCTTAATTATGCAGACTTAATATAACTTAATAAAAGCTAAACGGATGAGCTATAAAAAATATTCACCACCCCTCACAGTTGTTATGAAAAGTGATATTAGCTATATGAACCAAAATCTTTCTTTTTACCAGGCTGTAAACACCTTTTTTTCAGCTGTAAAGTTGGCCATTGTAACATTGGGCTCAATAGAAATCTGCTCGGTTATGGAGCCAGGACTAGTGAAATTTCGATGATTTAAAGTTTCAGTTACTTCCATATTTGCTTCACGAGGGAAAGCGGGAGGTTGCCGCTTGGTAGTGACACTAATAATTATATCCTCAAGACAGTACAGATGGAAAGCAACTGGGATTAAAAGATCTGTTCATCTCTCTGTGATCATAAATCATCATCAGATGTTTTAAAACCGTGCATTTTTATAATGAATTACAGAGATTTTACCGTCTTTATCACCACAGCTGCATGTCAGTACAGTTTTAAGAGAAGACGCTTCAATCCTGGTTTGTGGACATTAAATCAGGTTTATTTTGTGCATTAACGTAACAGATGCCCAGCAGTAGATATTAACGTGTATCCTGTGAAAATTGCATGCAAAAGCAGTGTAAAGTTAAACGCAAAAGCAGTGTAAAGTTAAACGCAAGCGCTGTGTGTGTGTGTGTGTGTGTGTGTGTGTGTGTGTGTGTGTGTGTGTGTGTGTGCGTGCGTGCGTGCGTGTGTGTGTGTGTGCGTGCATGCGTGCGCGCGTGTGTGCGTGTGCACGTGAATTTTGTAACGACATTGTGTGTGACTCATCGAAAGGCTTGAATTAACTCCACAACAAATACATCAAATAATCATTGTGAAAGTTCTTACTGTAGTATTTCTCACAAATATTACGTGAGATCTGCTTCCTTCATGTCTGTCACTGTGCTGTTTATCTGACACAGCCGTGGCGGAGATTGAGGCACACTCTGATGGGAACGGTGGGCGGGGAGAACTAGCATTAAAGGCTCAGGCCACAAAAACAGCTACATTGTTCAAAGTAGACTATTCCAATATTCTGAAAGCTATAATAAATAATCTGATGGGTGGTTTGAGCTAAAACTTTAAATCTTGAAAAGGAGTAAAATGGGTGCCTTTTTAAAAGAAATGTTTTCTCTTTGAATTAAAAAAAAATAATAATTTATAGATGTAATTAGTTGAATGAGTTTTGAGTAGCCATAACTCCTGTCATCAGTTTTACATGATGCTTCAGAAATTTTTCTAATATGATAATGAAAATTTCTTAATTTATGCAATGTTGTAAACAGTTATGCTTTTTTATGGAAACATTTATACATTTTTATAATATATTGATGAATAGAAGTTACAATATGGCATTAATATGCCTTTTGAAGCTTTTTTTTTATTGTTCTTGTTTTAGTCCTTGGAACATGTTCATGACTGAGTTCATAAGAAAATGAAATTCGCTTTGGTCACACTTTATTTTGATAGTTTGTTCGTTTTGTTTAAGTTTGTTCCTTTTTATTTTCCGGGACTTTTCAAAAGCTTGTCTAATTAAATCAAATCATGAATTTCTCAAATTTCTCCTGTCAGATCATCTCAGCGGCACAGACTCTTGCTCTGCACCCCACCAGCAAGATAGCCAAAGAGAACCTGGATGTATTTTGTGAGGCCTGGGAGTCCCAGCTCTGCGACATGGCGATCCTATTGAAGGAGATTAATGATGTGTTTGAGGGCCGCAGAGGTACGTCAATCGGGTTTAGTCATCACATTAGATTTAAGGCCAAGTTTTATGATTACAAATCCCAACACCTCCCTTTTCCAAGCCAACATATGAACTCACTTTACATCATCAATGATATGCATTTAGAATAGAACAATATATACTTTTATAATCAAAATTATTATGTTAGTCAGCAAGACATCTTGGTGCCATCAGATTGAAAACATCAGTGAACTTTTATGAATTTATTGTGTCCGATTTTGTAGAAAATATTATACCATTTTTTCTTCATAATCTGTTATTAATCAACCTCAGTCTTGATAAAATTAATAAATGTTTTTTTTTTAAATACAGGATTTTGACTCTTTAATTGCCAAGTTAATAAGTCTTTTCAGAAATTAAGTCATTTTGTGTGTGTTTTTCACCAAATCAGTGACATCATTTATAAACTTGGCAGAGTTATTAATGTACAGAGTTAAAATCCTGTACATTTTTAAAGCATTTAGTAGTTTTAATCAGGTCTGAGCTTGATTAAAAGATTTACTTTAAGAATGTGGTCTGATACATTTTTTACAGCAGTTTAATAAAGGGGATGTTTTCATTTCGAACAAAATAAAAGGGTAGTAAATTAGCATTTTAGTTTTTTTCAAAGCATTTTTCCAAAATATGTGTCAAAATAAGATGATTTTGTGTTACCAAAAATCATTCCATTTGCTGAAACACAGAAAAGGTTGTGGCCAAATTAACCCTTTAGCAAGCAACCCGAAGCAGATGCACTAGGGTGCAGTTCTTCCACATGTCAATGTTTATAAATGCATTACACCAAAATAAACACAAGTAATCTTGACAAACTGTACATCGGTTTTGTCAGGGTTCTGCCACTCTGATCTTGTAAATTCTTGTTTTGGTGGCAGATCTCGGACACTACTCGTGTCTGGTCCTGTTTCTGTCTCTGTGTGCGCGCGCGCCGTCGTGGGTGTACGCAGAGTGTGCGTGCTCCTGCTTGACGCGGCCGCGTGCGCGCTCTGCGTCCCTCAGACGCGTGCGCTCTTGTACTCGTGTTTGTGTTTTCGTCTGTCAGCAGCATGGTGTTTCATTCCCAGCGTCTCAGTCTTGTTGGTTTCGGTTTTGGTCGGCGCTGGGATGAAGCATGCATGCTGCATATGTGAGCGCATGGTGAGTGTTTTCATTCATCGTGTGCTCGTGTCTTGCGTCTTTTGTCAAAGCACATGGCTCGGTGTTTACATTGTGGTCACGTGCTTTTGTCGTGTGCTTCAGTGTTGTGTTATGTGAGCGCATGGCTTGTATTGTCTCTGTGTCATGCGCTCTCCCGTCTATTGTCTAGTCCCACCCTCCTTGTTAACCCATTATTAGTTAATTGTGTTCACCTGTGTCATTTACTTTTTGCTTTATAATCCCCCTCATGTTTTCAGTCCTTTGTCAGTTCGTCATCGATATTCCCTCTGTTTTCCTGTTCCAGTCATGTCTTGCCAGCCCAGCCCAGCCCAGCCAAGTTTGTCTGTTTTTGATTCATGTTTTTCCCCTCGGGGTAGTTTATTTTGCCTTTTTGTTTTATTTGTACTTTATTATTTATAAAACCCAATTATTGTTTGCACTTGAGTCCTCGCTCCTTTTCCCCTCACCGAACCGTGACAGGTTTAAAGCTAAAACCCTCAAGCAGCGATTGTAGCTAGTTGTTTTTCAATGGGAATCTTATAAAGAATGTATTTGCTAAATTTGTGTCAGTTGATTCAAAATCACCCTAAAGTGGATGAAAACATCCCCAACTGTGCATAAGGGCTAACCCATTTTTTGCTTTCCCATGGCTGCTGCTTTCTTAAAGTTTCATAAAACATTTGTAATGATATGTGAACTTTAAGTAAATGTATTTATGCTAATTAAATCATACTTTAGAGTTTTTCATAAGCTTAATCTTAAAAGTTTATTCATGTTTTAACACTTCTTTTGTCCTACGATAAACATGAATTAATTTTCCAAGTAAAAGCAGCAATGTTCAAAAGGGGGTTATTAATTATGACACAACAAAAAAATCACTACATTGTGAAATATCCTTTCTCCTTGTGGCCGGATTGCTATCTTTTTTCCAGCCACTAAAGATGTGCAGCTTTGACATTTACACCACATTCACATCCCTCACATGAGGTAATTGAATAGAAGGTTGGTAAATCTCTGTAGGCAAGGTTAGGGGGGGTGCATTTCGACAGTCCCACAGAGATTACAGGTCTGTGAAAAAAGCATTTGCTTATCTGTATTTGGGCTCAAGGATGTGTTTGAGTGATTTCGACTTCTCTGGGTGAAAGTGTGTTTTCTCACAGCGATGTATGAGGAGCTTTATGTGGCAGCGATATTTGTCAGTCTGAGGGAAAAGGCATCAGTAACATGACAGAAACCCGACGCCTGGGGAAATGTTTTTGTTCTAGATGAGAGGCTCTCGGTCATCAACCGTGCCAGTCCAGATCTTTCCCAGAAACCAAGTGTCATCCTCCAAGATCCTGCCTTTGTTTCTGTTCATCCTCATTATCATCTAAAGACATTTGTTTTAGGCTGGGCGAAGCAAGCTTGTAAATTGAAATGTTGTTAATATTAAGTAAAATGGTTGTCTCTCTCTTTTTTTTTTTTAGGTGATAAGAAAACATATCTGTCTTTACCAAGGCCAGGGGTGAGTGTGATGAGGAACTATGATTTTATTACAAATTTGATTTACCATATTAATTGTGTTGTTATTTTCTGATTGATCTTTTTCCTAGAAACACTCTGCTAACCTGAAGACAGTCAAGGCTGCCAAACTTGATGCTGAGGTACTCATGATAAAATGATGTGTGACAGTATATTTGAGTAATAATAATTAATACCTGTCATTTTTTAAATCATCATTGTTCTTGTTCTTAGTTGTTATTCCTTTTAAAAAAAATTATATACAGTATGTATTTGCAATATAATTGTCGTATTTGCCATTCCACAAAATCCAAAAACCAAATCACTTTCAAGATAATATCTAAAATAACCTGGACTTGACAAAACATAATCTGCAACAGAAGATTAAAGCCTCTTTTCCACTGCACACGACAATCGACAAGCGACAGACCGGAAGTCATTCATTTCCAATGGAGAGCAGTCTGGGAGCTGCGCTGAGTTTAGATCATCTCCGTATGCGGAAAATTCGGATCCGAATTGAGCTGCGGATCCGTTGAAAAATTTGAACTCCTGCGACTAGACCGTATGCGACCAGCCGACCGGATATGATGTATTCCAGTGTTGTCCAAGCAGATCCGTGCACGCGAGATGAGAAATAGGAGTTTATTTGGTTATTTTTTGAATTATAAAAAGTCTATATTAAAAAAAACTTTTCTGTTTATAAATGTAAGAAAGTGATAAAAATATATATCTTTAATGTTGTCTCCACACTCCCTCCAATATTTTAGCGGTCTATGAGTTTCTAGTATTCATTCATCCATTAAACTATGTAAACGGATGAGAATAAAGGCTCTTGCTTTTGTCCTCCTTTATTTTGGACACCGTGAGAATCAGCTTCTCCCCCGTGGTGCACAACAACACTGAAAACACTGTGTGGCTGCCACAAGGGGGCGTATTCCGACAGTCGTGTCCAAATGTCGTGTGCAGTGGAAAGGCGGCTTAAGGGCCCTATCATATACCCAGTGCAATAAGGCACAAGATGTGTATGCAGCGATTTGTTGTTGTTTTTTTTTTTTAGACCAGCGCAACCCTAATTGCTGGACAAGTTGACGATTCATTCCGCTGTGGCGACCCCAGATTAATAAAGGGACTAAGCTGAAAATGAATGAACAAATGAATGAATGAATGAATGATAAATAAAAAAACCACTACCTAAATGCTTTCCATGCCACAAACGAAATTAAATATGTGGGCTAATGGATGTATTCAGTGGAGTGCGTACAACATCATTTTCTTATTCACGAAAGTAAAAGTAAAGAGGCAGAATGGAGGAGGCTCATTCTTTATCCTGGCGCTGCAGATAATCTGTTTAACTGTTTTCTCCCCAGTGAAGCGTTTAGTTTTTCCACTTTCAAAGTACGCCATGTAAATAGCAAATATAAAAATAGCATGGTGCAAAACAACTGACTCTTAAAGGGAATAGGAGATGAGACTCTGATTGGTTTAATGCTACGCTCAAAGCACACCCATAACTCTTTGAAATAATAAGCACAACCCTGTTAGACCATGCATCATGGCGCAAAGCTTATTTTTCCAACTTTAAAATAGCAAAAGTGGATTCAGACACGCCCTTAATGCTTTTGCGCCATGTGCTTTAGTCTTTGCGCCTAAAATAGAGCCCTAAGATTTAATAAAAAAAATAAATAGCTGATTAGCAATAGTATTTAGAATAATAGCAATTTATTTTAATCATAACTCCACATTTTTAAGTTTGTCTATATTTAATTAATTGTATGTGTTGTTGTTTTTGAAATAAATCTATTATCATTTTTCTGTGTAATACATTTTTCAGTTTAGAAAAGAAATTTTAGTTTCACTTCAATGAAAATTTACACCAAAATAAAAAAAAAATAGTTTTTATTTACTCACCATTTTCCCAAACCTTCCAAACTTATATTATAAGACTTATAAGACAATATTTTTAATCAGTCGTGTCAGAGATTTTTGTCCTTCTATTTATAGTCTGTTCTCACAAATCTCAAAATATTTAAAAAGAGATAAAAATCCTTATGAAATGAGGTTTAATCCACATCTTCAGACACACACTCCATGGATCTTCTAAAGGATATAATAAAGCACAAATAAATATTTTTAACACTTAAAGGGGACCAACTATGCAAAACTCCCTTTTATAAGGGGTTTAAACAAAGTTGCATGCCAACTTTTTGTAAATATAGTAGCCTCTAATGGTAAAAATTAATTAATTCTATTTTTTATGAACAAACTTCACAAAAACAGACTGCAGAAACACTTTGATTGGCATTCTTCCTTTGTACATTTCATCAAAGGTGCACTGCTTATTTAGTGACGATCTTACCCTCAGTAGAATAAACAGCCCTGAGCGAGAAGCAGCCGTCTGTCCATTATAGTTTTCCGTACCATACCTGTCAAAGTTAATGTCAGCGACTTAGAGGATAAATGTCAAGTTTTAACGTGCACAAATGAACACTAGTCCAAACAACTAGTCCAAAGATTACCTTCAATTGAGACGCTTCTTTTGATGTTCTGTTTTTCACAGAGATTACTTTAGTCTTGTTTTTGCATCTGCCACTATGCTTATGCACAGTTATTTGTAGCTCAACCTTCTTTTTAAAAGATTCCTATTAATAGCAAATCAAAAAGTGGTTTCTTACATTTTTCCAGAACTGTATATCAGTTCCGTCTCAATGTAAATGGTTTGACTCATCTCCATTTATCCAGGAGCAAACCACCATCGCTAAGCTGGGCCTGGAGCTGTGTCTCCTCACCTCAGACGTGGACTCGGAGGTGGAGCGCTGGGATGAGCAGGACCACGAGATGGTGCGACTCTGTCAGATCATATCCAGCATGGCTTACTCCATGTACCTCTTCACCAGGTAACGCTTTTCGGAAACTTAATTTTCCCTCCATCAGATTGCTAAGAGTAGTGTTATATTACACAGGAAATGAAGTACAACGTTCTGGAAAGCTTAACCTTTATGAAAAATGTCTGTTCAGAAAGACAAAAACCATGCTGTCGTTAATCTGCGCCCGCTGTCAACCTCCACAATCACTTTTATGGATCTTCTAAGGATGTTTCATTAACTCTCTGCTGTTTTGCCATCTGTTATTAAGGGGTGAAGGCCTGTTAAAGACAACTTCGGATTTATTCCACCAAGCTGAGGTACGCCAGCGTTCGCTCTCTCACTCTCTCTCTCATAGGGTTTTAATTGAATCTGTTCCAGGTGTCATTAAGAGCAATGAATGGCCTGGAAAAGATGGATCAATATATTATTAAATGAGCCAGCTGTCATTTGTCGGTGAGAGACTGTGATCTGGAGCAGATTGTGCGCTGTGAATAGAGAGAAATGCTGATTAGGCAAGTGTGTGTTTCTGTTAGAAAGGCAAACTGGCCTCCACCCAAAAACACCACCTTCTTCTTTACAAGCTCTTATCTGACGGAGAGAGTTTACCTGCTCAGAGTCACAGTGAACAGCACTGCAAAGCTCTCTTAAAGAGGCATTTCAGAAAAAAAAAAAGAAAATTGAATTATCTTTTACTCAGTCTCACACTGTTCTAATGTTGTTTCAACAGGAGAACTAAAAAAAAAATAAAGCCCAGCTCATGTTCATCTGATTAATAGGGATGTTCCAATACCATTTTTCCTTTCCCGATGACGATGCATGAGCTTAGGGTATCGGCCGATACAAAGTACTGAACCGGAGTGTGTATCTGTAGAAACAGTTGTGTATACTACAAGCACTGTATAAATTGACAGATTTAATTTATGGTGTGCATCAAACTTTAATAAAATAAGATCCATTAATAAAACATGAACAAATACATACAGTGAACTAGAGTATTTTATTATCTGACATTTTATTATCGGACATTAAACAATAAGGTTATTTACTGCATTGTACTAAAACAAACCAAAAATCATAAAATGAAAAAAAAATCTATTCAATTTTTAACGGTAAAAAATGTCCGCTTGTTTCATGCTTTATTATTCTGAATTTATCAAATTGAGGGTTAGGGTTAGGGTCATATGTTCATAGAAAATTAACATTTATCTCAGACTCTTGTTTATGTTGAGATATTTCACTTTAAAGAACAGGAAAAGGACTTTTTCTCTGCCATAAAAGTGATATTACTGAACATACACACAGGAGCCTGATGAAAATGCTCATTTTTCAATGCTCAAAACAATTTTTTCTTCATATACATTTAAATGTATATATTATTTGTATCATAAATGTGTAAATATACTTTTTTTATCTAAATATAAATACAAACATGCATGTATATATTTATGAAAATGTTTATCTATCTCTCTCACTGTTTCTATATATATATATATAGTAAATAATAATTATACACAGCACAGTAGTTCTGGGCAACGTAGTGGCGCAGTAGGTAGTGCTGTCGTCTCACAGCAAGAAGGTCGCTGGTTCAAGCCTCGGCTCAGTTGGCGTTTGCGTGGGTTTCCTCCGGGTGCTGCGGTTTCCCCCACAGTCCAAAGACATGCGGTACAGGTGAATTGAGTAGGTTTGGATGTTTCCCAGAGATGGGTTGCGGCTGGAAGGGCATCCGCTGCTTAAAAACGTGCTGGATAAGTTGGCGGTCCATTCCGCTGTGGTGACCCCAGAGTAATAAACTAGTTATGTGAAAATAAACTTTTACTTTGGATGCGATAAATCACGATGAATTTTTGCTCATCACTAATTAACTTAAATCCTCACAACACTTGGAATATATGAGACATTTCAGAATATTTAATTGATAGTTTTTGACATTATTGAGTGCCGATATATGGTTGAGCTAAAACAGAACATTTCACAAATTTTCTTTGTTGTTTTCGGACTATGAACAAAGAAAGGGTGAATGGCATAGGAGCAACTGCAGGGTCAGTAAATAATGACTGGATTCTTATTTTTGGCTGAGCTAGCTCTTCAGTACACAACTCTTCTTTTGCCTTCACTGCAGTCACGTCATGTTTCAAATGCCATAATTATGAGTTTCCTACTAGTAAACAGTTCACGGCAGAGTCACAATTACAACTTGAAAGCTCATAATTGAAGTAACAACAGTCTCCATCTACTCCCACTTTATTGTTGTGACGTCATGTAAAAGTAACCATAACGCCATTAACCATACTTAGCACGGATCTATACATACTGTAGATGTCATTTTTTGAGACTTTTTTTTTAAATTTTTTTTTAGATTTTTTATTATAGTGAATAAGTATTACATGTAACTGTTTTGACATAGTGACCATTGCTATAGTTATGAACTTCAGAATCAGACTCACTCAGAAACCTAAATCTTGTAATTACAGCAATTTCGACATGACACAAATCTTTGACTAATTTTCTCGAAGAGTTTTCTCTAAGATGTCAGTCTTTAATATCAGTGGGAAGTTAATGGTGTGTAATTTCTTGTTAAGGTTAAACTGGCTGAAATGACAGGGATATGAACACTTGGGATAGTTTAAATGAAATGGCAGAAAATTATGTGCAAAATTAAATAAAAAATGTTTAATTTTTTTAACAGACGATATATAAAAATCTATATTAGGTGGAACAACTAAGTTATTCAAGTTATTCATTGATTTTTGGACAAACAAAGTGCTCTGATATATTAGAGAAATATTTTTTTTCACTGTAAGTTTGTAAAAAAAAAAAAAAAAAGACAGTAGTTTACAAAACAAAACACAAGTAGCATTTTTACTTAAACACATATATACACAGACCTGTAACTGTAATGTTCAGAACATTTTCATAGGATTGCCTAAAATTTTTTATATTATAAAGTATAAAATAAACAATTTTAAAAAACTGTATATATGAATGTATTTTCAAATAGCTTATTTTATATTTTAATTGAAAATATTTTACATCATTTAGTTTCAATTAAAACAGTAAATTCTAAAAAATAAAAAAATATATAAAATAGAACAATTTTAAAATAAAAAGATATAAAATAAATATTTTATTTTAGAATTGAATTTTGTATATAATTAGCATGTTTTTATTTAAATGAATATTTATGTGAGTAAAGTATATAAATCAATTATATTATAAATAAACAAAGATATTTACAAAATAATAAAAAATATAAATTCATTCATTTTCTTTTCAGCTTAGTCCTTTTATTAATCTGGGGTCGTCCCAGCGGAATGGACCACCGACTTATCCAGCATATGTTTTATGCAGCAGATGCCTTTACTGCTGCAACCCCTCACTGGGAAACATCCATACACACTCATTCACACACATACACTTTGTACACAATTAACTTTTTCAATTCACCTGTACCACATGTCTTTAGACTTGTGGGGGAAACGGGAGCACCCAAAGGAAACCCCCACAAACACGAGGACAACATGCAAACTCCACACAGAAATGCCAACTGACCCTGCCAGGGCTAAAAATATAAATTATACATAAAATAAAATATCGCCAACATGTATCAGAGAAAAAAATACATTAAAAAAATTATTTAAATAAAAAAAAAATAAAATCTTTAAAATAAAGAAAATCTATATTTCTATTTTTTCAATAACTATTTTTTTTATTTTTCAATGAGTTATTCAGGGATCTTTGGACAAACAAAATGCTCTAATATATTACAGAAATATTTCACTGGAAATTTGAAAAAAAAAAACATCAATAGTTTACAGAATAAAACACAAATGGCATTTTTACTTAAACACATAACTTTAATTGTTCAGATGCTCACCTAATATTTTCCATAGATGTGTGTCTATGCATTATATATGTCTATTATATGCACATAATTATTTATAATAAAATAAATAAATATAATGTAATATAATTCAGATAAAATATCATTATATTTTTTAATTATTTATTTATTAATAAAAATTATTATTATTTGCTTTCTCTATTGTTTTGCAGGTAAATAAATATAATGTACTATAATATAATTTAAATTAAATAAAAAAAAAACAAATCTGAAATAAAATGACATATTGATCTTTATATTTTGAAATATTATTTATTTATTTAGACCCTATAGATTTTACTGTAGGCCTTACATTCTGTATTGTTTTACAGGTGTTGTCAGACCAGGGTCTCCAGCTATGCCCAGTCCTCCAGTCTCTCTCCACACAGGTAACAACACAGTTTAATTAAATGCCTGTAAATAAAGCAGAGTAATGACTGTCATCCATCTCATCGGGGCCGTAGAGACTGTTACTGTTGGTTAACCTGTGCTCCTCCGACAGAGGCCACTCATCCATAATCACAGAGCCTGACGCTTTCATTAATAATCTCCAACCTGCCTGAGCCTCATACAAATGACTTGCGTCCATTTATTTATCCATCGGCTCAAATTCAGCAATTACCTTACTTTAGCAAACCTGTAATGTAGTTTTGTGTGCAATTTGGGTTATTAGATTGCTAAATTTGTCCTTGCCTCGAGGTGTCCTGAAAGGGTCATGAAGAACAGGGAAAAAACAATGTTACAGGCATAAGAAATAAGTTCAAGTTTAGTGGTGCATGTGTGTAAAAGGTATGTAAATCAATTGTTTAAAAATCAAAGTAAAATAAACTATTTTAGAATAAATACATATTTAACAAAATTTAGTTTAGAATTTAATTTATTATATAATTAGCATGTTTTGTATTTATAATATTTGTGTGAGTAAAGTACATTCAGTTGTTTACGTTATAAATAAAAA